TCGCTATGAGGTTTCTAGCCAGGGCCGGACTGGGGATACGAAGCAGCCCTGGAAAAAAAAATCTATACCAGCCCCATAATTCATTGTGCTATGTAGAATATATATATATATATATATATATATATATATGCAATTGAAATAGTTGGCTGCACTCTCGGATTTCCTTAAAATGTAACTTTTATTGAAATATTTAAGAGAAGATCACTGTTTCAGTCCCTCTTGTGGACTTTCGTCATGATCCTGATGCAAGTCCACAAGAGGGACTGAAACGTTGATCTTCTCTTAAATATTTCAATAAAAGTTACATTTTAAGGAAATCCAAGCGTGCAGCTAACTATTTCAATTGCCTATATATATATACTGGATACTGGAGCCCTGGTGATGCAACAGTATGTATGTGTGTATATATATATATATATATATATATATATATATATATATAAAATTTATTTTTTATTGATACATTTCTTCTTCTTCAAAATATTAGTTCTTTTAGGGTAATTAAATTATATAGTAACGCATACTCACACACAGACAATCTTACTGATGCACACAAATAGACTCATTGACAGACAATCTCAATGACACACACAGACAAGGTTACTGGCACACACACAAATTTAGTACAGACAAACTCTGATACACACACACAAGCTTACTACAGACAAGCTCACTGTCACACACACGCTCACTACAGACACGCTCACTGATGCGCACACACTCTCCCTACAGACAAGCCCATTGACACACACATGCTCCTACAGAAGAGCTCACTAACACACAGATTCACTACAGACATGCTCACTACAGACAAGCTCACTGACACACATATGGTCACTACAGACAAGCTCACGATCACACTCATGCTTACTACAGACAAGCTCACTGTACACACATGCTCACCACAGACAGGCTCCGACTCACCCATGCTCCTTACAGACAAGCTCATTAACACACACACACATATTATCCCTAAAGACAAGCTCACTCAATAGCAGGCACACACACACAAACTCACTAGCAGGCACACACGCACAGAGGCTCCCTCACTAGCAGATGAGCATGCACACACACACACACACACACACAGACAGACAGTCACTGACAACGAGGAAAACATCCACACATACAAAGACAGACAGACAGCCACACACACGCAGGCAGACAGCCACACACACGCAGGCAGTCAGACACACACACGCAGGCAGTCAGACGCAGACAGTCACACACACACACACACAGGCAGACACACACACACACAGGCAGACACACACACACACACAGGCAGACACAGTCATACACACAGTCACACACACAGACAGTCACACAGTCACACACTCACAGACAGTCACACAGTCACACACTCATAGACAGTCACACACACAGTCACACACAGACACACTGGCCTCCCCTCCCCCTAATACACTGCTGACCCCCCTCCCCTAATATACTGCTGTCACCCCCCTCCCCTCCCCCAATACATTACTACCCCCTCCCCTCCCCCAATACATTACTGACCCCCCTCCCCTCCTCAATACATTACTGACCCCCCTCCCCTCCCCCTAATACACTGCTGACCCCCCTCCCCTAATATACTGCTGTCACCCCCCTCCCCTCCCCCAATACATTACTACCCCCTCCCCTCCCCCAATACATTACTGACCCCCCTCCCCTCCTCAATACATTACTGACCCCCCTCCCTTCCCTTCCCCTCCCCAGCCATTTACTGTCCCCTTCCCCTCCCCCAATACACATTACTGTCCCCTTCCCCTCCCCAATACATTACTGTCCCCTTCCCTCCCCAATGCTACTGACCCCCCCTCCTCCCCAATACATTACTGACCCCCCTCCCTCCCCAATACATTACTGTCACCTTCCCTCCCCAATGCACTGCAGCCCCCCTCCCTCCCCAGCCATTACTGACCCCCCTCCCCTCCCAACCATTGCTGACCCCCTCCTCCCCCCAATACATTACTGTCCCCCCTTCCCCTCCCCAATACATTACTGTCCTTCCCTCCATTACTGTCCCCCTTCCCCTCCCAATACATTACTGACCCCCTCCTCCCAATACGTGCAGCCCCCCCCTCCTCCCAATACATTACTGACCCTCCCCCAATACAATACATCCCCCCAAGCCCCTTTATTCTTACCTTTCCAACAGCTCAATGTTGCAGGAGGGAAGAGAGGCCGCGATCTAATCGGAGTAGGTACGGCCGCCGCGCAGCCGCCGGATGTGACGTCATGTCGTCATTTGCCGCTCACATTCGGCGGCTGACGGCTGACAGGAAGTATCTGTGCGCTCGCACAGGAAGCAGCCGCGGCCGGCGAGGCGCGGATGTGGCTGCGCCGGCCGCATAGGCGAACAGAATTTTTTTTTTCAGGTCTTGTGGCTGAGGGCAGCCACATGTCAAAGCGGCCCCAGGGCTGGCGGCCTACCGGGAAATTTCCCGGTATCCCGGTAGGCCAGTCCGGCCCTGTTTCTAGCTGCTAACGAGGTTATCGCCACCAGTTGGTGATAGATTGATTCAACCTTTTTATCTGGTACCAATAGTATTCAATTGGAAATGGACGGGGAGAAAGCTGAGGGTCCCAATTGCCTCAGAAGTGTTCCCACATCCTCCCACAAAGGTGCGATGCCAGTGCAGGACCACCAAACATGCACCACCGTGCCCTTCTCCACTCCACATCTCCAGCACAGGGGAGACACAGTTGAGTATATTTTGTGTAGCTTAGTCGGGGTAAGGTACCATCTGTATAGTAGTTTTTTGTGGGCTTCTATGTGGGAATAACATTTTGTCCATTTGGACAGGCCGTTCAGGGCACTCAACCATATATCATCCGGTAGGTCCGAACCTAAGTCCTCCTCCCATTGTTTCTTGCACAGCGGAGGTACATCTGGTAACATTGCTAGCCACGTTCTATAGCAAATGGAGAGGGCTTTAGGTTTGTTCGGTGTATCCCTACATCTAATCATAATCAGAGAGGGCATTAATGGGTTATTCATGCTGGTAGGAGTTGGCGGGGGCAAAGCATGGGATGTCAGTATACTCCTGATTTGCAAATATTTGAAAGTGTCCTGGGCAGGCACGTTCCATTTCCTCCTTAGTTCTGAGAAGGGTATTACCGTACGATTGTCTTCCAAGAGGTGCTCAAGTCTGTCTAAACCCATGCGTGTCCAGTGGGAAAAAGAAAGTGATTGGGTTATGGTTTTTAGTGCCGTTAGGGGGGCCTTGGGGTGCAGTTTATGACTGTAGCCTATTTGGGCCATAAAGGAATCCCACATCAGTATGGTCAGCCTAGTGGTAGGGAAAAGAGGTGTGTGCTTGTACCGAAGGCGTTTTGGGGTCCACAGGTAGTCCGTCATGGACTTGTCTTGAAATTGGTCCCTCTCCATATCCACCCATTGTGTGTGGCCTTGGGGTGAGTGTGCCGCGATACATGTTGCCAGGGCAGCTGCTTTGAAGTAGAGGTGGATGTTAGGGAGGCCCACTCCCCCTTTGTCAGGTGTATTTTGTAGTAGCTTAAGAGGCAACCTCGCTTTTTTGCCCCCCCAAACGAAAGTGTTACAGGAAGATTGTAGTACCTTAAATAGTGTAGCGGGTATCGGGAGAGGGAGCATGCGAAACACATAGAGGAGTTTTGGGAGAGTCATCATCTTGAACGTGTTAATCTTACCTAACCAGGATAACTGCTCACTGCTTACTAGACATGTCCCTACTTGCGGTATAGCGAGTAGGGGCAGATTATTTACTAATACTAAGTAATCTTTACTAAGTATTAGTAAATGTGCCTGAAAGACCAATTTAGGTCTTTTAGCCTTTTAGTAGATAGCTCCCTGATACCGTGGGAATTAGAGAGTTATCTACTAAGTGGCTGCAAGATGCAGCCGCGGCAATGAATAGGATCAGAGTTTCATTCATTCAAATTAAATTCCGATATGAACAAAGTCCCGAATTGTGTTCTAACACGAATGGAGAAACTGTTAGAATGCAATTCGGCACAGGGAGAAAAGCTAAGGATCATGGGAAAATTGCTGTGTTCACCGGAAACAAAGTGCACTTTGCTCCTCCGCTGGTCACCGTTGGTCACTGCATAGGAAAACTCCATAAGAGAAATAGTCCCTACTTTTTCTTAAGTTTTAAAAAATACTAGAGCAGACTGGAAGAAATGAAGAACAGATCCAGAGAGGGAGAGAAGAGGAATCGATTGGGGAAAGGTAAGTTCGGCATGACAGTGCCGCTTTAATAGTAAGGTAAAAAATGATAAACGCATAAATGGTATGTTCGTATCTGACGTGTACCTTTTCTCAAAGTTAAGCAAATCACATATACATACAGTTGTAATCAAAATTATTCAATCCCCGATAGAGATGGAGTGGGTGATGACGTGCACAACGTAACGGATGCACGCACACATGTGCCGCTCAGAGAATGGGCGCTTAGCAATAAAGTGGTAACAAGAGGTGATACTCGAGGGAAGGAGTAACTACAGTCGCTCTTGACCCAGAAGCCGAGACTAGAAGCCTGTAAGCAAGTACAAAGAACGGATAGATGAAAGCTCCAACAGCTGGATGTTGCACTATCATTGAGCTGGCATTATCAGAGAATTATATTAATGAGCAGAAACAATTTTATATGACTGAGGTATTCCATTTGTTCTGATTATCACAACATTGAATGGCTCTCAGCATAAAATCTCTGCATAAACTCGCTGAAAAGACTACCAGCACATACCAACAGAACTTAAGTGCTCCACAGCAAAGAAGAAAACAAGATAAGTGCACTGTTAAAATTAAGTCAGCTGGGGGGCGTGGCTAACCATGGAGCAAGATGGCCGCATGAAAATTTGCTCCGGTGCCAGGCCATTCAATCTAACTTCATCCCAGCGAACAAAGCTGCATCCAGCGTTATGAATAGGAAATGTCACAACATAAAAGTAAGAAGAGCTCTGCCAAAACGGACAAGCTCAATTTTTTCAGCCAGAAACAACTCCCTGCGACCATGGCCGCGCAGGCCTCCTACAAAGATGGAGGAGAGGACTCTGAGGAAAGCATGCAAATGCCTGACTTTGGCACACAACCCACATCAACACAGATCACCAAATCCGACCTGAATGAAGCCTTAGAGAATCTTTCTAACAAACTTATAACAATCTGGAAGCATAGAGCAGACTCTCTACGAAAATACATCCAGGAACTTGGGAAAAGGACCTCACACATGGAAGACAAATGTGATGAATTCGCAACGGCACACAATGACCTAGCCACAAATATGGAACAAATGGTGGCCAAAATAGAAACCATATAATCCAGGATGTCAGCTATGGAAGATCGGGCACGCAGAAACAATCTTGCGGGGCGTCCCGGAGGAGGTTACAACAACAGACCTACCTGCATATGTTCAGGGCTTACTTCACGCCTATGTTCCGGAGGTAGCGGCACACATGTTGCTAGTCGACCGGGTGCACCACATTCCAAAACCTTCTATCAGCCACCACGCCAAAGATGTGCTGCTTCACGCACACTATTTTCAAGTTAAAGAGCACATAATTTGAACGAACAGAATGAAAGCCAAACCACACGTGGACTATCCCACGGTAAAAATATTTGCAGACCTCTCGACTGCAACACTCCACAGGAGAAAAGACTTCCACCCGGTGACTGAGGCCCTGCAAGCACATGGCCTGCGATATAGGTGGAGGTTCCCCACGAAGCTACTCGTCACTAAGGATGGGGGCCTAACGTTATTACACAACCCTGAAGACAGCCTTAAACAACTGAACATTTGGGACATACCAGCCCCCTCTGCAGAACAAGCCATGGCTCAGACGGGGAAGCTTAAAGCAGACTGGAAGATGGTCACACAACGACACTGAATAACTGATGGTTAGCTAAACCTAAAGCAAGTGCTATGCAGCAATTCTATATTTACGTTCTAATTTGTTCACCCAAAGACACTATATGGGCCACACGAAGGTACACTGTATATCACGTGGGATTTCCCGGCTGGTTAAGTCACTACTGATATTTACTGCCTATAAGACGCCAAGGCCTGGTGGGGTGGTTGCACCTACCTGGGACATTCCTCACTCCGATGCTAGTCTGTTGGACCAAGGCCTTCTGTTCAGCACTGTGACGATGCGAACGCGGAGCAGTGAATACTCACAGGAGACCGTGGTGCACTCACAAAAGGCAAGTACATGGACTGTACTCTCCACAATGGACAGAGAAACACAGGACTAATTTCACCAATGACACTATATACACTGTGCTGTGCTGCACCTAAAATCTCTTAGTTGGCACTGTTGCCACTGTCACCCGCTACCCCTTGAACCCCAAGTTACAATAGAGTAACGGCACATAGGACTGACCCTCAAGCATTGCGGATACAAACTGGAGCTGCTGAACATGCAGTGACGAAGCAAGAATGGAGCAGCAACCCAAAACAAAAGGCATCCAAAGACAATGTACGCAAATCCAGGTAACTAGATAGTGGAGCCCTGATGAACACTGTAACGAGGCAAAAGCGGAGCAACTGTGTCACCAGATGCCAGTGGGTCACACGTACAAGGCAAACCACCAGGACAATACACTTCAATTTGAGCCGACAAAAGGCTAACATGGTTAATTAAGGGATGCTTTCAAGACGACACCGAGTTATCACGTACGACAACCGTAGTTCCCTGGAGGGTCCACGGGATGCTGACAGGCACTCATTCATTGGACTTTGCTGCTTGACGAAACGTGGACTTTCAACAAATCTGCCTATATTGCACCGAGAAAGCCAGTCTGCTCTGACCTAATGGGAACTCCTAACACACACTATAACGAGGCAACAGCGGAGCAGCGCCAAGGGAGGCACCCATGGGGCAAGTGTATATGGCACCGCACCTGGACTGCACACTATATTATGCACTGACTGACTATCCACGGGTGGAGAGAAACGGGTGGGGGGCAGGAGGGGTGGGGGTGGAAGGTGAGCAAAATGTATGTGAGGTATACATCTGCCACATTCACAGTACAGCAGGTTGATTTAAAAAAAAACGACTACGAGTGGACCTGTAGTAATAAGGATCCGACTAGAATACCTGAAGCCTAACCAGGGAATGTCCACTGCATGCACTTAATGCTATAGCACACCGAACACCCGCTCCCTGCAGGCCCAATGTCTGTTGTGCCTTATCCCAGATGGGCAAAAGAATCAAATAAAGTTATAGACCTAGAAGACAGCGGAAGAAGAAAAAACGTGAAGATACATGGAATAAGTGAATCAGTCTCTCATGACCAAGTAGATTCATATCTGCGAGATTTTTCTGAATCATTAATAGCTGAAGAAAATTTGGAATCACATCCCTTCGAGAGAATACATCGGCTAGCATATTACACAGTGACAGATAAAAAAAACCTCCAAGAGATATCCTAATATGGTTTTCACATCACCATATGAAAGAAAACATTTCTCAAGCAATAAGACAGAAAAAGACACTTCCTGAAAAATATAAAGAAATAAACATTTTTCAAGACATTTCTTTTGCAACTAGATCAGCAAGAATGAAATTTATAGACCAAACTCGGATCTTTAGGTCAAACGATTTACGGTATAAATGGACGTTCCCAACAGCTCTACAGCTCTCCCATAATGAACTGATATATTCCTTCTCAGATCCAAAGGAATTACAAGCAAATTTTACTTTATGGAACATATCTATGAATCGACAAGAAACAAGATAATTCAATAACAGCAAAGAAAATGTTGGAGAAGATAAACTTTAAAACGAAGAAAATGAAGTTGTAAACAAACAGTCAAAGACATATAAATATATACATTTATTTATTTTCCTCACAGGATTCTTTGAAGTAACAAATGTAAAATAATTC